CCTTATCAGATGTGAGACTTGCAAATATTTTTTCCCATTCTCTAGGTTGCCTTTTCATTGTTATGTCCTTCAATGCCATTTTTTAAATGACATCCAATTTACCTTTTTTTTTTTTTTGAGATGGAGTCCTGCTCTGTCGCCCAGGCTGGAGTGCAGTGGAGTAATCTCAGCTCACTGCAACCTCTCCCTCCCAGGTTCAAGTGATTCTCGTGCCTCAGCCTCCCAATTAACTGAGATTACAGGCGTGTGCCACCACACCTAGCTAATTTTTGTTTTTTTTTGTTTGTTTGTTTGTTTGTTTTTTTTTGAGGCAGAGTCTTGCTCTGTTGCCCGGGCTGGAGTGCAGTGGCCGGATCGCAGCTCACTGCAAGCTCCGCCTCCCGGGTTCATGCCATTCTCCTGCCTCAGCCTCCCGAGTAGCTGGGACTACAGGTGCCGGCCACCTCGCCCGGCTAGTTTTTTGTATTTTTTAGTAGAGACGGGGTTTCACCGGGTTAGCCAGGATGGTCTCGATCTCCTGACCTCGTGATCCGCCCGTCTCAGCCTCCCAAAGTGCTGGGATTACAGGCTTGAGCCACCGCGCCCGGCCGAATTTTTGTGTTTTTAGTAGAGATGGGGTTTCACCATGTTGGCCAGGCTGGTCTCAGACTCCTGACCTCAAGTGATCCAGCCGCCTTGGCCTCCCAAAGTGTTGAGATTACAGACGTGAACCACCATGCCTGGCCCAGCTTGGCTATTTTCCCTTTTGCTGTCTGTGTTTTTGGTTCTGTATCTAGAAATCATTGTCAAATCAGGAATGTCATGAAAGCTTCGATGTCATGAAGCTTTCCCTGTTTACTTCTACGAGTTTTATAGATTCAGGTCTCGTGTTTAGGTCTTTAATCCATTTTCAGTTAATGTTTCTGTCTGGTGAAAGGTAAGGGACCAACATCACTCTTTTGCATGTGAATATCACTTTCCCAGTGCCATGTGCTGAAAAGATAATCTCCCTATTTGAAGGCCAGCTGATTAGTAACCTTAATTCCATCTGCTACGTAATTCGCCTTGGCCATGTGGGATAACATCATTACAGGTTCTGGGGATTAGGATCTAGACATCTTTGGGAGGCCAGGATTCTGCCCACCAGGGGGTGATCGAGCCTGCAGGGACTCACGTGCATCTCATTCACACACCCTACTCAGGAGAACACAACTGACTTTTGAACAAGGGTGTGAACTGTGAGCATCCACTTATACACATATTTTTTTCAACCAAGCACATAAAAAATACAGTATTCAGGCTGGGCATAGTGGCTTATACTTGTAATCTCAGCACTTTCGGAGGCTGAGGCAGGAGGATGGCTTGAGGCCAGGAGTTCAAGACCAGCCTGAGTAACATAGTGAGATTCTGTCTCTACAAAGACCTAAAAAATAAAAAATAAAAAATAAAAAAAAAAATAAACCAGGCATGGTGGGTGTGCACCTGTGGTCCCAGCTGCTCAGAAGGCTGAGGTTGGAAATTGCTTAAGGGAGGTTGAAGCTGCTGTGAGCTATGGTGGTGTCACTCCACTGCACTCCAGCCTGAGTGACATAGATCCTGTCTCGAAAACAACAAAAAATAGAGTATTCACAGGAGGCAAAACCTGCACATGCAAGGCCGACCTTTCATAGATGTGGGTTCTGCAGGGCACTGGGGGACTTGATTATGTGCAGATTTGGGTACAGGAGGGAGGTCCTGGGCCCAATCTCCTGCAAATACCAAGGGACGGATCTCTTTCTACGTAATAGCAGGAGGTGTAATTCACAGACAATACTGACAAACATTACATCGAGAGATGGCGTATGTTAGTGGGAAGTCTGACAGTTCACAAATGACAATGGAGTTGTCTCAAACGGTTTTAATCGAAGAAGCACTATTATAACGATGACAGTAGGTAGAACAAAAGCACCTTATCACACAACGTAGAATTCTTTGACTGTGTTGCCGTCTGTGTGCATTTTCACAATTATCATCATGAAAAGCAGAGTGCGTCTTCCCAAGGGAGGTCAAACGGGTCAGAAGAAATAACCGGAGGGAAAATGGGAGAAAAGAAACAACAGAATTCAAAACACAGGACTGAGGGGCCAGGCGCTGTGGCTCACGCCTGTAATCCCAGACCTTCGGGAGGCCGAGGCAGGTAGATCACGTGAGATCAGGAGTTCGAGATCAGCCTGGCCAACATGGTGATACCCCATCTCTACTAAAAATGCAAAAATTAGCTGGGCGTGGTGGTGGGCGCCTATAATCCCAGCTACTCGGGAGGCTGAGGCAGGAGAATCACTTGAACTTGGGAGGCGGAGGCTTCAGTGAGCTGAGATCCTGCCACTGCACCACTGCACTCCAGCCTGGGCAACAGAGCGAGACAACGTCTCAAAAAAAAAGACAAACCAAAAACCAAAAAACATGGGACTGAGATAAGAAAAGGAGAGAATCCTAATGTTTCAGGCAAAATAAGTAAAAATTATTAAAATGTACTGTTACCTTTTGTTGTTAAGATATATTCAGTGTGTTCCATCAGACTGTGGAGGTGTATCCTGGCAATACATCTCAAATGCAAGCAGGTAAATGAATCTAGCAGGCATCTGACTAGAAAGAGGGGTTCTTTTATCCTCCCTTTCAGATGAAGAAATTGGAGCTGAAAGTCAGCAAGGTGGGTATCAAAAACCGTGCTCACTTCATGAGGCCCCGGTGTGGAGGGACACAACAGGGAGAGCTATCTGAGAGGAGGCCCCTGGCCAGTCCCGAGCTGTGTTCTCAGATCTCCTTGTTCTCCTTTTGGAACTTCCTCTTCTCCTTGGTTAGAATTAAACATAGCGGTGGGGGCCAGGCACAATGGCTCACGCCTGTAATTCCGGCACTTTGGGAGGCCGAGGAGGGCAAATCACCTGAGGTCAGGAGTTTGAGACCAGCCTGGCCAACCTGGCGAAACTGTCTCTACTAAAAATACAAAAATTAGCCAGGCATGGTGGTGCACACCTGTAGTCCCAGCTACTTGGGAGGCTGAGGCAGAACTGCTTGAACCTGGGAGGTGGAGGTTGCAGTGAGCGGAAATTGTGCCATTGCACTCCAGCCTGGGCAACAGAGCAAGACTCCATCTCAAAAAGAATAAATTGATTTAAAAAATAAAAATAAACGCAGTGGTGGAATCTCTGATTTCTTGGGTCAGCTTCCCCAGGGCTGAGCCATCTCTCTTATTCAACATTTCCCCGTTTCCCCTCCAAGGCCCAGCACACAGTATGTGCACAGTTCATACCGTGTCAGTCGCTCTCTGAACATCTTGGGTTGAAGAAGCAGTCGCCAGCAGATCTTCCAGGAGCACAGTGAGCATCTTCGCCGGACAAAGCACTCTCCATGCCGTGCCCACGTCTGAGTGCCCAGAGTGGCCAGCAGTGGCTCCGGTGCTTCTGGGAGGTGCCTGCGTGCCGATGGCTCCCTACATGCCACAAAACATTTTCCATGTCTGGGCCTCAAGAGGGAAAAGCATGTCCACGTCCTGCCCTCCCTCCTCCAGCGGGCTGAGAGCAAGTTGCTGCTGGGCAAGCCAGGCCTGGGCTGCTCCTCAGGCCAGAGGGGACCTGGGGAGTGAATCCAACTTTGAGACAGAAGGTACAGTGAGCTGACATTAAAATGACCACATCTAGGCCGGGCGCGGTGGCTCATGCCTGTAATGCCAGCATTTTGAGGGGCCGAGATGGGAGGATCACTTGAGGTCAGAAGTTCTAGACCAGCCTGGGCAACATGGTGAAACCACATTCCCACTAAAAATACAAAAAGTAGCCAGGTGTGGTGGTGCACACCTGTAGCCCCAGCTACTTGGGAGGCTGAGGTGGGAGGATCGCTTGAACCCTGGGTGCATAGGTTGTGGGAGCGGAGATCGTGCCACTGCACTCCAGCCCGGGCAACAAAGCAAGACCCTTTCTCAAAAGACAGAAACAAAAAACCCCAACCACATCTAAAAGGAAAGTGGCTAAGATTCAGGTGGCTGGCTCCAGGTGCACAAGCTGCCAGGCAACGCTTGGCCACCAACAGAACAGAAACACAGACCCGCTCAAGATGTGTCCCACTCCCGCTGAGCCCCTGCCATGCTCATCCGCAGGCGGTAGAGGCAGAGCCAGACTGGGCAGACAGTGGGCCAGCAGGGCCCCCTCCCTTCGTCGCACCGTCCTCCACCCCCTGACCCCGTCTGCCCACCCCTGCTGGGACTTTCCCCTGGTTCACAAGCCTCCGAGCCTCATTTCTTCAGGACCCAGCTCCCCGCAGGTGGCTGCCATCTCACCCAGCAGACAGGCCCTGTGTGGGACAGGGCTCGCCATCAGGGCTCTGACCCTGTGATGCAGAACGCACGGCAGTTCGGTAGTGGGAGGAGGGCGAGGGCACTCTCACGTTTGGCTCCTGTGGGTAGAGCTGGCACAGGCGCTGTTTACTAAGCGAGAGGCAGGTGTAGGACAGTCCAAGGGAGGCAGTGCTCCGTTACCACCCAGGCTAGAAGGGGTAGCAGGTATGTCGTGCAGCCAAAAGCTCCCTGGGAGCCCCTGATGGGCAGGAAGTGTGAGCCAGAACTCAGCTCCCCAGCACCCCCGGCTCCCGAGGGCACACCTGCTCCCTCAGTGCCACTGTTCCCCTTAGCCTTTAACTTCCGGTGCCCCTGAGCAAAACGAGACTGGGAGAAAAATCCCCCTCAGGATTTGAGAATTATAATTCAGAAATGACTTTTAAGCACAGAATGTTTTAACTTTGCTTGGAACCTCTGTGCAAAAAACTGGATGATCTGCGAGAGTAAACACGTTTCAGTTGGTAACCAGCACCTCTGAAGAACACTGAAAAGGGAACGTGCGCTTCAGTCTAAGGCCAGAACAGAACACGTGAGACGCACCGGATGGCAGGAGGGCCTCTGCCAGCCCAGGTCCGGTGTGCAGGATGCCGAGAGTGTCAACGCAGCTTCCACAGCAGAACGGAGTGACCACAGACCAAAGCGAATCACGCAAGTGGATCAAAAAAAGTTTATTCTGAATTCTTTAATTTAAAAAAATCATACCTATGAGGTGTGCTACAGGAATTCAGATACAATAAGTTGCATATAAAACCCGACCTCATTGCTTATTGTGGTAAAGCAAGGATGATGAGAAACGCACCTCAGAAGCAAAAACACGCGCTTCACGGGTGCTCCGGGACCCAAGTCCCAGGACATTTCCACGGGACCTTCTGGAACGACACACCGCCCACCTGACTGCACGACGGGACTGGTCCAGCCTCCCGGCTCCTCAGGAAGGAGGTGAGTTTCCTACAAAGTGAGTGGCCACAAATGCCAGGACAGCGGCGTCCCAGAGCTGTGGGGGGCCTTGGGGAGGAACACGCACTCATCTGCACTTCACACTTCTAGCCTTCAGCTCATCAAACTACCGTAATTGAACATGATATTTTGGCAAAAAGACTACACCCCACTGATGGGAGGAGGCTCCTGGTGGCTCACAGCAGAGCAGGCACTGACTTCCTTCCCAAGGCTGAGAGGCCGTGCTGTGACACGGCACATATACCGCCCCAGGCTGCCCGGTGGCCCACGGACCACCTGGGTGACGGTCAAGACATCAGCCTGTGTGAAAAGAAAAGCCCAACGCAGACCTCAACTGCACTGTGCCAGTCCAGAGACCTGCGGGGCAGGGGAAGATTTCAAGGACTTGGTGACGCTGCCCGGCAGGGGCAGAAGAGGCTCCCAGCAGCCCTCCCAGCGACCTGGGCATAGGGATGAATAGAGATGAGGACGAGCCGGGGTGGGCACAGGAAAAAATCCAGGGTCTCTGCTAGAAGGCACCTGATCCTGCGGGCTGTCACGGTATGACACAGGCAGATTTCCCATCTGACGTGGCAGCTCCTGTGTTCTGGGTGACTTAGCTCTGTGTTAACCTCCAGCAGGCCCGCCCCTCTCCCCCCAAACGCTGAGACTCTAGAGGGAGCCCTCGTCTGAGACAGTCCTTCCTGCCTACCCGCCGCAGGGCCCAGGACAGTCCTTCCTGCCTACCCGCCGCAGGGCCCACCTGAGGCCTCGTGCTTGTTGTGGGAGGCCCCGACTGCACTTGATGAGCACGAGGGCAACACGCACTCAAGAGAATGCAAGCTCCCTGAAGCTGCCGCGTGTGACAGTCAATTTGGCAAAAAATAAAACAAAAAAAACCCATCAATCCATCAATGCATAAAACCAATTACCAAAGTCCTCTAAGGAATGTGATTACAATATATTAGCAAATTCTGTGGCATAAACATTCTCAAAAGCATCAGCAAAAGTATTAAATATAAAAGCAATGTGTATATTCTCCTCCCCACCTTCAAAAAAAAAAAAAAAAACAAAAAAACCCAAAACCCAAGAACCAAAGAAGGCCTGATCTGTAGTGTGAGGATCCGGGGCGCAGCTCCGGGGGCTGGGTGCTGGGGGTCCTACTGCCGCAGGTCCACGTAGTTGGCTGGGAAGAGCCCGTACCGGCCCTTGCACACCCCACGCCACCAGCCATCGTCAATCATCTCGATGTTGGTGATGATGTCATCGGGGTCAAACGAGATCTCATCATCACCCGCTGGGGAAGAGAACACAGAGAAAGGTGCTAAGTGCGAGCGTTTCCTGGTCTGCTAGAAAAGAACAGTGCAACCCAGAGCAAACTCCCAGGCAGCCTGCTCAGAGGAGCTGCCCCCTGCAGAGATGCACTGCGGAGGCTCCTGCTGCCTCTCTCATGCCACCAAGGCCAGGATTTGTGAAGAACACGAGCCGAGTGACTACAAAGATGCCCAGAACCCCTCACACAAAACACCAACCCCACCCGGACCCCTTCCTCAGGAGCAAGTTTCCACCACATAACTCCAGCCCCGCCCGCCCTCCCTCCCCCTCTCTCCCTGGCAGACGTGTCTGTGGAGGGGGTGGGGAGATGGGCTGCCCAAGGCCATGGGGGTGTGGAGGCCACAGTAGAGGGATGGCTGGGGGACACCTGGAGAGAAGCCCGAGGTGATGGCTTAAATGGGCTGGAGGGCAAAAGCCACGGTGATGAGAATCCACACACAGGTGCCGAGATGCCACAGACATATCCACACGAGTGCATGCAAATGCACGTGTGCAAAAGGGACTGAACGGGGACAGCCAGCGCTCACTTATGGTAGAATGCCAACTTCCGCACTGATGGAAAACTGCAAACGGGAAGCACTAAGAGGCAGCGGCCGGGGGTTCGGAAAGGAATCCCACGCCACCCGTAAGATGCTTGTCAACTGCAGAGGGGTGGCAGTGGCTTTGTGGACCAGATGGTGGCTGAGACAGAGGGACAGGTGGACGCCACGTGGCCCAGCAGGGAGCCCCACCACGTGGTCTCCACGACCTCACTGCCACCAGAGCACGGCTCAGCCTGGCCCTGAGGGAACACAGGGCAGGCGGCTGAGGCCAGCCCAGGAGCTGAGGCTGCTCTTAAACTGCCAAGGCCGCAAAGGCAACTCGGGGACACGCCGGCCACATGGGAGCTGGCGGCCAGGACAGGACAGGCAGGAATGGGGCATCTGTGTGGCCCCCTCACCTGGAGGGTGGGGCATCCCTGTGGGACAGCGTCCTTGACCTTGGGAAACACGCTGGAGTCTTTGGGGCTGGCAGCACCCTCGAAGCTCTCCAAGGGTTCAGAGAATACTAAAGATAACGGGGTGGGTACGTGTGTGTGCGGAGATGGAATCTGGGCGGGGAACATGGGAGTTCTTGGCACTATACCTGCGACTTTTCTATACCTCTGAAATTATCTCAACATGAATTATTTCTAAACTAACAACGCTGGAGAAGTCAATTCTCAGGAAGCAAGCACAGGCGGGCGCAGCTGCCCGGGTCTCCCCTCTGAACACTTTTGCGGGTCGCTCACCAGCCTGGTAGTCGTACAGGGCAACGGCTGTGATCCCCAGGTCATTCTCGTACTCGTCGTAGGTGCTGTCCTCTAAAAGAAAGCCAGGACAGAGCTGAGCAATACAAAGCCCCACACAGGTTCCCAGCCTTCTCAAGTTTTAGACACTTCCTAAGATTCTGTCCCAAGGACACAGGACGGCAGCTGAAGCCCTCCCTTCCTCTGCCCTGCCCACCCGTCCCCAGCATCCCGGGGATCTTCCCGGGATGCAGCTCAGGAGCTGCTGCCCCAAATGTGTCTAGAGCACTTCCCTCAAGGGACAGAAAGACTCTGCAGCAAGCAGGCGAAGGCGGGTCAGCGGGAAACCCACCCACGCTCCTCGCAAGGACACCACAGGTGGAGCAGGATGTCTCGGGAGCTCCCCGCCCTGGGAAGGGCGCTGCAGCGTGGGGCCCAGTACCTGTGGGATAGTGGCCTGGGGCCTCTGCGCTTTCGTAGACAGCCTCTGTGGCGTAGGCCAGGCCCTGCTGGCTGCCGGCCTCTCGATAGTCAGCGGCCTCCACGCTGTACAAGGGCTCCGGCTCCGTCTCACTACCAGGGCCTCTGTAGCTCAGCTCTGCCTTGAAGGAAGCCGCGTCCTGGGGAAGGGTCACACGCACATGGCACGGGGCCCATGCTGGCTTCCAGAGAGCCGCAGCTGCACTGCCACAGCCAGCAGAAACCCAGCGGCCACCTCATTCTCAGTCCCAGCCAGGACTGAGAAAACAGATGCGGCATAGGAAGGCCAGGCCTGCTGGCTTGTTCACCATGGTGGTGAGTGCGGGCAGGCCCACGTGCCACTTCCTTACCGATGACTGGGTCCTCACCCCAGAACACTCCAGTCCTGCAGGAGCCACGCCCACATGGCAGGTTAGGAGCCACGCCCACACGGCAGGTTAGGAGCCACGCCCCTGCCTGCGCTGTTGCCTGGGGGTAGAGCCCATCTTTGTTGGGTTAATTTGACTGATTTTGAGGCACAAGGCACCCTGGGGCCGAGTGGTCACCCTCCTGCCCTGTGCTGCTCGACCCTGGCCCTGACTGACAGCAGCTTCACCACATGGCTGCAGAGCAGCCGAGCCTGCAGACCGGGCTCTGCCCTAAACAAATCCTCTCCGAGCCTGCAGACCGGGCTCTGCCCTAAACAGATCCTCTCTGCAGAGGGCAGCAAGGGCATCGCCGAAGAATCACATTCAACTACAAAGGTGCCAGCGGAACACCTCTTTATTTATAACCACCGCAGCTTCGGAGCCCTCACGAAAATCCCGACCTGCTTATCACCGATGCTGGCTTTAATCAATGTTTCTGAGCAGGGTCCACCTGATGTCACCGGCAGTGAGTGAGAGAAAGCAATGCCAACAGCTCAGAAACGTGCACCCAGGAGATCCGGGAAGAACTGGTGGTGGAGCGCTGCTCGCCAGGGAGAGAAACCGGGCAGGGAGAGCGACTCCACCCTCAGCGCAGGCGCTGGGAACCACGAAAGGGCTGAGCTGCACAGGAGGGGCAGGGTCGGAGCTTCCTTGCGGCAGACGGCGCTGGCTGCCAAGGGGAGGGACGAGAGGGGGAGGCCAGTTCCCGACGAGCTGCAAGGCCTCACTTACCGCATCCCCCCAGGGCCTGGCAGGGTAAAGGCAGCAGCACAGCCCAGGAGGGACAGTCAGGTGGTGACGAGGCCATGGCCAGTGAGGCCCAGGCCCCAGACCCTGCCTGTCTCCAGGGCGCTCTGGGCTCCTGAACTACCGTGGTCTGGAGTGTGCCCCCCATAACTACTGTGGTCCGTGGTCTGGAGTGTGCCCCCTGTAACTACCGTGGTCCATGGTCTGGAGTGTGCCCCCCGTAACTACCGTGGTCCGTGGTCTGGAGTGTGCCCCCCGTAACTCATTGCCTGGCTCCTGGGCGAGGAGAGGTGAATGCACAGACCAGGATGATGGCCATGGGATGGAGAAGGGGCAGGGCTGGGGCCAGGAGAGGTGGTGACAGGTGGAGGGTGTGGTTAGCGCAGAGATGCTGGCACGGAGCAGGAGACACAACGTCAGGGATGGGCGGGCCATCGGCAGATGGCTCGGTAACTCTGGGATGGGGACGGAACACTGGGGGACCCACGAGAGGGGGTCAGCAGCACAGGGAGGGACCGGACAGCATGTCTGCAGCACACTCATGAGGGGGTGCAAGGCCGGAGAGCTGAACGGGGCAGGCACAGAAGGCAGAGTGCGCAGGAGGTGGGGGCTCAGTGATGAGGGAGGGCGGCATTGCCAGAAGGGAGTGTGGTGGCGTCCCGCACAGCAGAGAGCAAATAGGATGAAGATCCCCACATCTGATTGCCTGACAGCAGGTGACCCCAGCAGGGACTGCAGTGAAAGTGGCCAGACTACAACAGGCTGTAGAGGGGTGAGAAGATGGCACGTGGGCCTGCACAGCTGTCCCCCGACAGCACCGAGGCATGTCACCCACCCCCAGGGCGCTCCCGGCCCACCCCTCTCTGGGCGTGGAATGCAGCGATGCCCTCTGCACCCACACCGCGCTGCCTGCCTGCAAGGGCTTCCTCTGCCCCACAGAGGACCTGGGCTCTGGCAGGAAGTCACGCTCATTCAACCACCAAAGACACCAACCTCATAGACGGGGCTCGAGGGCAGCCTCTCCTCGGTTGGCTGAGGTGCAGGCGACACAGGGGGCGTTTGCGTTTTCGCTCTGGCTTGCTCCTGTGATTGAAAACAAACAGCAATCGGAATGCTGCCATGACACTCTGCACTGTCACGCCTGCCGTGTTTCAGAAGATTGCGCCCAAGCTCTAGGCACGCTCTGGGGGAAGGAGCGGAGAACACCCACACCAAGGTTGAGCTGGAGCACTAAGCCTCGGATCCCACCAGCACCCGGGCAGGATCCGAGGGGCAGGTGAGCTGGAGCACTAAGCCTCGGATCCCACCAGCACCCGGGCAGGATCCGAGGGGCAGGTGAGCTCTGAGGCTGAGATCACACAGCCAGTGACGCGACAGTGCCGGGACTGGGCCACAGCTCATGTCCCGCCCACACACAATTAGACGGTTTAGCCACAGATTTGGGAGTCTGAGTTGATGCTGCAATGGGTTGAGACTTTGGGGGCCTTCATATGGGCTGAGTGCGTTTGCACATGAGACGGACACGAAGCTTTAGGGGCCAAAGGATGAACTAGGGTAGGATAATGGCCCCTCAAAGCTGCTGACATCGCAGTCCCCAGACCCCATGTGGAGGGACTGTGTGTGTGATGAAACTAAGGGTTCTGTGATGGGAACTCTGGACTGTCTGGGTGGACCCAATGTAATCACGAGGTCCTAAGAGAAGGGAGGCAGGAGTGTGAGGGACGGAGGAGGGGCGGTGACAACGAAAGCAGAGGTTGGAGATGGGAAGACGGGGCTGCAGGGCTGCCAGGAGGAACACACAGCTCTGCTGACATCTTTGGGGACTTCTGACCTCCAGGGCTGTGAGACACTAGCTGTGTGCTGTGTGTGGTGGTGACTACAGCAGCAATGGGAAACTCACTGACAGCCTGCGGGCTCCAGTGCCAGACGCTGAGTCTGAGGGCGAGGTGTGCAGGCACACGCACACGGGCCAGGGAGCCACCCAGGCAGGATCTGAACCCCAGGCGTCCACTCCAAACCCCTCCCTCCTCTCCCTCTGCAGGACCTGAACCCTGGCGTCCCGGCTCAAGCCCCTCCCTCCTCTCCTCTGCAGGACCCCCTGGGCCGAATTATCGCTCAAACCCCTCCTCCTCTCCTCTGCCAGGACCTGAACCCCAGTCGCTCCAAACCCTCCCTCCTCTCCCTCACAGGACCCTAGACCCCAGGCGTCCACTCCAAACCCCCTCCTCCTCTCCCTCTGCAGGACCTGAGCCCTGGGTATCGCTCCGCCCCCTCCCTCCTCTCCCTCCTGCCAGACCTGAACCCTGGGTGCTCCGCTCCAAGCCCCTCCTCCTCTCCCTCTGCAGGACCTGAACCCCAGTAAATCCTCAAACTCCTCCCCTCTCTCCCTCTGCAGGACCTGAACCCCGGGCGTCGCTCCAAACCCCACCCTGCTCTCCCTCTGCAGGACCTGAACCCCGGGCGTCCGCTCCAAACCCCTCCCTCCTCTCCCTCTGCAGGACCTGAACGCCAGGTGTCCGCTCCAAACCCCTCCCTCCTCTCCCTCTGCAGGACCTGAACCCTGGGTGTCCGCTCCAAACCCCTCCTCCTCTCCTCTGGGACCTGAACCCAGGCGTCTGCTCCAAACCCCTCCCTCCTCTCCCTCACCAGGACCTGAACCCGGGCGTCCGCTCAAACCCCACCTGCTCTCCCTCTGCAGGACCCTGAACCCCAGGCGTCCGCTCCAGGCCCCTCCCTCCTCTCCCTCTGCAGGACCCCTGGGGCGCAGGTGTCGCTCCAAACCCCCTCCCTCCTCTCCCTCTGCAGGACCTGAACCCCAGTCCCGCTCAAACCCCTCCCTCCTCTCTCTCTGCCAGGACCCTGAACCTCAGCGTCCTCAAACCCCTCCCTCCTCCTCTGCAGGACCTGAACCCGGGCGTCGCTCCGCCCCTCCTCCTCTCCCTCTGCAGGACCCTGAACCCCGGGCGTCCGCTCCAAATCCTCCCTCCTCTCCCTCTGCAGGACCTGAACCCGGGTGTCACTCGACCCCTCCCTCCTCTCCTCTGCAGGACCTGAACGCCAGGTATCCGCTCCAAACCCCTCCCTCCTCTCCCTCTGCAGGACCTGAACCCCAGGCGTCCACTCCAAACCCCTCCCTCCTCTCCCTCTGCAGGACCTGAACCCTGGGGCGTCCGCTCCAGAGCCCCTCCCTCCTCTCCCTCTGCAGGACCCTGAACCCTGGGTGTCCGCTCCAAGCCCCTCAGCCTCTCCCTCTGCAGGACCCCGGAACCCCAGGCGTCCGCTCCAAACCCCTCCCTCCTCTCCCTCTGCAGGACCCTGAACCCCGGGGCGTCCGCTCCAAACCCCCTCCCCTGCTCTCCCTCTGCAGGACCTGAACCCCAGGCGTCGCTCCAAGCCCCTCCCTCCTCTCTCCCTCTGCCAGGACCTGAACCCCAGGCGTCCGCTCAAACCCCTCCCTCCTCTCCCTCTGCAGGACCGGAACCCCAGGCGTCCGCTCCAAGCCTCCCCTCCTCTCTCTCTGCAGGACCTAGACCCAAGGCGTCATGACCCCTCCCTCCTCTCCCTCTGCCCAGGACCCACAAGACCCCCAGGCGTCTATTCGAACCCTCCCTCCTCTCCCTCTGCAGGACCCTGAACCCAGGCGTCGCTCCGACCCCTCCCTCCTCTCCCTCTGCAGGACCCTGAACCCCAGGCGTCCGCTCCAAGCCCCTCCCTCGAACCCCAGGCGTCCGCTCCAAACCCCTCCCTCCTCTCCCTCTGCAGCCTGCCTCGCTCTGTTAGGAACACCCAGGCGTCCGCTCCAAACCCTTCCTCCTCTCCCCCTGCAGGCTGCCTCGCTCTGTTAAGAACAATGGTAGTGCTGTCTTGTCTTGCTGAAGAGAAAACCACTCCTGGTCTTGAGACCCTAGCACAGTTCCTAGCATCTATGGTCTTGCCTGACCCCAACAGGACAGTTGTAAATTCCCACGTCACCTGGTGCCATCCACAGATTAAACACTCGAAGTACCATGTCCTGTGTGGCCCTGCAGGGGCAGGGCCTGGGATGGGCAGGAGAAGCCCAGGCTTCCAGACAGGCTGGGCCTGCCCCACATTGCAGATGCCCCAGCTGAGAGCCACACCTGGTAACTTCACACACACACATTTGTAGGCTCCAGGCTCTATTCATAGCCCCCCCAATCCCGCTGAGCACAAGGAAATTCCTTGTCAGTGGGAAGCCACCCAGGCTGGACCCAAAGCACCCAGATGCAGACTCGTGCTCTGCCCCTGCCAGGGGTGCGCTCCTGGCATCTTTCTCTGGAGCGCTTCTCCACAGCCAGGGGCTTGGGTGAGCGGGGCTGGGCTGGCTAAGCAGAAGCAGGCCCCAAGAGCAGGCTGCCTCTGCACAGAGGCCCCTCCAAACCCCAAACTTTCACCCGGAAAAGGAGGGGCTTCCAGAGGGGGAGGGGTGAGAAGAGACTCCGGCTGACATTTGGACAGGAACTCCATGGAGGACGAAGCCGACATGACTCTGCTGTCAGCTCAGGGACAGAGGGCAGGGCAGGTTGCTGGGTCCCAGGGCTGGACTGGCAAGACCAGGATGGCGCTAGCCAGCTGCCTGGAGCATTGTGGCCAGAGACTCAGCCTATGTGTGGCTTCAAGTGACGAGTGCCTTAAAGCACAGCCTTAAACGAGAGTTAAACATGCCTTCCAAGGAAAACCTGGCCAGGAAAGAATAAGCCCCGCCCAGGCCCCAGAGCTGCCAATCCCCTCGCACAGGTCCGAGAGGGAGAGCGCGCTGCAGCCCACTCCTTGCCGCTCACCTCCAGCTTCCTCCTGGCCTCTTCCTGCTCCTGCCGCTCCTTCGCCATCCGCTGGGCTCTCTCTGCCTCCGCCTTCCGCCTGTCCTCCTGCTCCTTCTCCTTAGCGAGGTTTTCAAAGTTAGCTCTGATGTTACTTGTTTTGCTGGTCACTATAGAGAAAGGAGGGAGGACGTGTGGCTCGAGCACAGCAAAAACACGGCTCCTGGACAACAGCCCCATACAGGGTGGCCGCCCCAGGAACCGGTCACCCCCCACCCCCGAGGAGGGAAAGGTTCTTGCGGCTGCCAGCTCAGCCCACTGGTCCGGGGCCAGCACTGGGCGCCGGCCGCACGCAGGGCACTGCACACCTGGTGGGACTGGCGATCCCCCTAAGCTTGGCATCAGGAAGATCTTTCAACAAGACAGAATCTTCACCACCACACTCACAATTTTAAATAAAAACAGCCAATTTCTCTTAAAGACATCTGTCCTTGATAAAGCAGTTAAGGTACTGATGTATACTGTAATCGACATATACTGAATATAGTGAATCTCAACCGCTGAGTATACATTTTTTTATATTCTGTGTGACAAAAATGGAAAAGAGGGCAGTGGCTCATGCCTGTAATTCCCAGCACTTTGGGAGGTTGAAATGGGAGGACTGTCTGAGATCAGGAGTGTGAGACCAGCCTGAGAAAGATAGTGAGACCCCATGTCTATTAAGAAAAAACAATAAAAATGTAAGTCAAAGGTGGGGAACAAGGCCGGGCGCAGTGGCTCACACCTGTAATCGCAGCACGTTGGGAGGCTAAGGCGGGTGGATCACGAGGTCAAGGGATTGAGACCATTCTGGCCAACATGGTGAAACCCTGTATCTACTAAAAATGCAAGAATTAGCTGGGCGTGGTGGTGCGCACCTGTAATCCCAGCTACTCGAGGCTGAGGCAAGGAGAACTGCTTGAACCCAGGGGCAGGGGTTGCAGTGAGCCAAGATGGCGCCACTGCACTCCAGCCTCGCAAGAGAGCGAGACTCTGTCTCAAAAAAGTGGGAAGACACGTAAGCCTTCCCTGCTGTGTCCGGGACTGTGGCGGTGGCTGTCTCTGTCTCAAGGAACATGAATGGAACCATGAGAGCTGCAAGTTGATTGTTTTTTCATGGAACAACGTTCTTCCCTGAAATAACAACTGACAGACAAGCTATGGTTATGCAAAGCTGGGTATCTGGCAGCAGTTTTCTCCCAAGTGAATGAACTAAGCCTATTGTGTCAAGAAAAATTACTGTAGTATTTGGCGCCAACAGGAAAATTCCAGCTTTCAAGTAAAAGACAGAATTCTGAAAAATGTGAGGCTACATGAACATGACAATTTCCACTTAGCCTCTGCAGATGACATTGACGATGACAGCAAAAGTGATTTTTTTTGGTCCTGTATAATGAGAAGTGTCCGCAATTGGAAGACGGGCATAATTCAGAGGTCCAGCATTTTCCAAATAACCGACACAGGGTGCCGCCCGAGCATACTGGGGAGCGAGCCACTCAGGGCCAGAGGAGCCGGCCGCAGGACCACCCCCACCTGGCACGCTTGCATGGCATCGCGGAAGGACACCCACACTGCCCTCAAGGTTACAAACACTCCTCCCTTTCCCAACCGCCTCCCCAGGTGATTCCACATGTTCTTCCTAAACAACGTGACATCGACAGACTGCAGAGGCAGACAGGTGTGAGCATGCAGCCGCCTTCTATTAAAGAGATTTACAAAAAAAAAAAAAAAAAAATGCCACTCCGTGCATGGCCAGTTATATTATTATTTTTATTTTTTGAGATGGAGTTTAGCTCTTGTCACCCAGGCTGGAGGGCAGTGGCGCAATCAAGGCTCACTGCAACCTCTGCCTCCAGATTCAAACAATTCTCCTGCCTCCGTCTCCTGAGTAGTTGGGATTACAGGCGTGGGCCACCATGCCCAGATGCCCAGCTACTTTTTGTATCTTTAGTAGAGACAGGGTTTCACCATGTTGGCCAGGCTGGTCTCAAACTCCTGACCTCAGGTGATCCACCCGCCTCGGCCTCCCAGAGTGCTGCGGCTACAGGCGTGAGCCAGCATACCCAACCTAGTTTTGTTCTTTTTAAGTGAACCAATTTATAACTTTCCAATGGCTGTGGTGGCTCATGCCTGTAATCCCAGCACTCTGAGAGGCTGAGGCAGGTGGATCACTTGAGCTCAGGAATTCAAGACCAACCTGGGCAACACAGTGAGACCTCGTCTCTACTAAAAATAAAAAAATTTAACTGGGCATGGTGGTATGCGCTTATAGTTCCAGCTTCTCAGAGGCTGAGGCAAGAGGACTGCTTGAGCCCCGGAGACTGAGGCTGCAGTCCTGCCTGGATGACGCAGCAAGACCTGGTCTCAAAATAAATAAATAAACAAATAAAACAGTCCTCTGATTTCTTTTTTTTTTTTTTTTGAGATGGAGTCTCGCTCTGTCGCCCAGGCTGGAGTGCAGTGGTGCAATCTCAGCTCACTGTAAGCTCCGCCTCCTGGATTCAGGCCATTCTCCTGCCTCAGCCTCCTGAGTAGCTGGGACTACAGGCGCCCGCCACCATGCCCGGCTAATTTTTTATTTTTTTATTTTTTTAGTAGAGACGGGGTTTCACTGTGTTAGCCAGGATGGTCTCGATCTCCTGACCTCGTAACCCACCGGCCTCAGCCTCCCAAAGTGCTGGGATTACAGGCATGAGCCACCACGCCGGGCCACATTCCTCTAATTTCTAATATAGTCAATGTCATCAAATACATCAACGTCTTGGGGGGTTCTCACTAGTGGTCAAAGTGTCAAAGCGTCCTGGGCCCTCCAACTCTGAGAACTGTGGATCCACGGCTCCCCTAGTAAGCAGTGGCAGCTCTCCGCATCCTGTGTTAAATTTAGCACTTGCTTTCATGTACGATATTTTCCCCAAGTACCTGACTCTCCAGGGCATGGACCACCTCTGACTCAATCGTGTGTCCAGCACAGAAAAGGACAGGTTTCGAGCTCCCTGGTCAAGGGCCCAAGAACAAGCAGCAGAGAGAACGTCTGCCGTCGCCTGCACACAGACGTCATGACGTCTTCCTCCTGCCACAGCTGCGACCGAGTGGCTCAGGGAGCCGGGCAGGCCCCAGCTGCTCCCAGGAGCTGGTCACTGGCAGTGTGGAGGGACCCTCGTGAACGTGCACGTAACCCCTTTGCTTTGGGAAGAGGCCCTCGAAACAGGCCCCACTGAAACAACGGCACCATGCTGCGTTTGAAAGGTGACTCTAAACCTCCGCAGGAGAAACGGGATCTTTATCAAAAGGATCATTTTCTTTCCCAAAAATATGCAGCAACAACCACACTTTCAACTAGTGGTGCGTCTGCTCCTGGCTGTGTTTCACAATTGTCCTTCCCCTCAGTGTTTTCCTGGGAAACCACACGGTGCTCCCGGTATCAGCCAGGACTCACCAGCTTCAACAGGTACTGTCTTCTGGTAGGCAGAGGACACCTGGGTGACATCCTCAAAGGTGGACGCATTCTGTGGAGATAGGAAGTGGGCGTCAGAAAAGCACTTTTCTCTTTTCTCCATGCCCTGTGGCAGCTCCTACCAGATGCAAATGCCTTCCTCAGATCTTCCTAAAGGCCTAGCCACACAGCCCAGAGCACTCTTCATGGCCTCTCAGTTTTGCAAACTAACTGAGGCATGAGAACGATTACCCACCACATTTGCAGGCAACCGTGAGTCAGCATGAGCATAAGAAATACATGTATCTCCATCTGCTCTATCATACACCAATTCTGGGATCAGCCTCACGCCTTCCCCACCCTCCCTCGCCACCCAGAGGTGTGAGCATTGACAGGAAGCAGAAGACGCTGGGGACACATGCAAGCCTCCGGTGGCCCGTCCTCCACACCACACCACGCAGTGGTGCAGTCACACCTTTCTGTATTGCGGGGGACTCAACTCCGGCCTGACCAAGCAGCAGCAATGACTCTCACATAGGACTCGGGTGCAGACTGGCAGGGCTCGAAGAGACCAGCGGCCGTCCCCAGTCTCACTGTGGGTTTCACTACCTCTGATGAGAACACCTGAGGCTCAGAAGCCACCAGAGCCCCCACACCATGGCCCCTTTCTGCCCAGCATCTCCTGCTTGCCCCCTTCCTGGCCTGCCTGTCCTTCCTCGGACCCTGCTCCCTCCTCCTGTCAGTCAGCTCCAGCGTCTACTCCATGTCCCTTGAGCTGCTTGCACCTGTTCAAAGGCAAGGCCATCAGCCTTACTGGGTCCCGTCACCCACTGGGCCCTCTGCAGACATCACCTCGCCCTCAGGGGATGACCTCACCTCCCAGCCTGGGTTGTAGCCCCATCCCCACAATGTACGGGGACTCAGGCAGTTACATCCCTCTCTCTCAGCCTTGGACTTCATCACACAGCAAACCAGGAGAGAGAAGCTCCACCCCCTCCTGGATGAAAGACAATGACACCAAAGGCGGCACCCCTACACTGCCTCCCCACGTGCTCACAAGCTCAGCCAACATCAGCAATGCTGACCACAGACACCCACAGCACAGCAGTCCCTCAGGTTCCGGCCTCAAAGCCACAACCTCTGACTCACCCAGAGGGGAGCTCCTTCCCTCCACCCGTCCCAGTGCCTCGCAAGGCCCCTGCTACCTCGCCGGTTCCCCCTGCCCAGTGTCCTCTGACCGCATGCCTACTCCCCTCCCCACTCTGCACGCCACCCGGGCCTGGCCCCAGCCCTACCCCAGCTTCCTCTCACTGACACCCACATCAGCCACTCCCAGTTCTTCAGCTCAGTGTCGGCCCCACGTCCACCCCACCTCCACCCGACTGCTCCCTCCCCTGCATCCCCTGGCGCGAAACACCACGCCCTGCTTCTCTACCACCTGAGCCCCTCCCGTTCTCCTCAGGACCACACCCCCCTGCCCAGGCCATTCCCCACAACCCAGACTCCACGCTGAGGCTAGCGGATTCTCAAAGCAGACCCCCAAAGTGTCCCTTACCTGCTAACCTTTCTGGGGCCATGCAGGTCACCTAATGACGTGCAGAACGCTCTGTGGTGTGTGGGGCTCTCCAGGGCCAGCTCTGTCCCCGCTCCCCGCCCTCCCTCTGCAGCTAGGCTTCTTGAGAACCTGCTGTGACTCCTGTCCCACCCGGGCCCACACCTCGTCCCTCCGTGGTCTCCTGAGCCTTCTCTCCTGAACTCCCGCCTGCCCTCAGAAATGAGCCCAGGCTACGGCTCCCTGGCGAGCCCAGCCCGAACACCTGCTCTGCCCGCCCACGCCCCCAGATCCCACATCAGGAGCCCCTGGATGGTGCTGTGTGTGGTCAGCTGCGAAGCAAGGACTGACCCTGCCACCCCGACCGCAGGCCATGCACAAGAGCAGGCAGCGTGGAGCCCGCGTCTCTGTGAGGCTGAAGACGGGAGACATGGCTCATCATGGCACAGGCAGCGCCGGCCACCAGCGGGGTCTAACACTCGGTTCCAATCTCATTTACTGTTAAGAATTTAAGTTCAAATGGACATGAGCCCTCGAGGCTCTCACCTCTCATGTTAAACGTCTGGGTTCCTGTGGCAGCCCAGCCGTCCACTGCTGTGCCACAGCCAGGTGCTGAACTTGCCTGGCCTGGGGCCCCCAACTAGGAGGGGGGCCAGTGCCAGCGCCTATCCCACAGCACAGACATAAGCACAGAACACATCATGTCCACTGTGATGGAAACCACCTGTGCCCCACCCCAGCGCGTAGCTGCCACCGGCACCGTGAGCCACGCCCACCAAGAGTCCCTGCAGGCAGATGACACTAAGCTCCGGGTCTGGAATATTTACCTTATCCATCCGATCCTTCTGTACCCCATACTTCCCGCCGAATCCTTTGGAGTAGTCTGAAATGTGGCAAAACACAACACTTACTCTGCGGCGGAGGCGAGCGTGGGGGTGGCCGCGGGTGCATGCAGACAGATCCAGAAACAGCCCAAGAAGGTGCACCACAGCGGGAAGAAACGAGAATGGCCAAGCGAGGCTTCACTTGCAAGGCAAGTTTTGCTTCCACCCATGGTCGTGAGACCCAGGCAGTGAGAAGCAGGGCACAGGCCAGGGGCAGGCTTCAGCATTCCCTGAGGGGCAGGAGGGGCGGCAGGCGGCAGGCAGGAGCTAAGCGAGGAGAGGGCACGGACAGGCCTTTGCAACGCGCCACTTCAATAGCACAGTCTTCCGCACCAGCACGGGCTTATTCTCAGCTGCTTCCTGTGCGCCTGCTCTACTGAGCGCTAAAAAGAGGCTCAATCGCAGTTTGTTCTCTTGCTTTTTAAGAGAAAAAAAAAATCCATGTGGAAATTCTACCAGCCAAATCCTTCTGCTGCAGCAACACAGATCCACATGAAAGTCACACTGTCATGCAGGAGTGATGCCTCGGAGAGCCACTGCCATCTCCATGCAGTCTGCGGGACCACCCCAGGTGTGTCTGCCTGCCCACACCTGAACACTGCTGTGTTTCTAACGCTGCAGGTGCAAAGTCTAGAGTCTGCCCTGCAAGGTTAGGGAATTACTATTTTTCCAATTATGTGTTCAGGTTCTAATAACCAAGTCCAAATTTTGAAGGTAACATAACTGCTCTAAGGAAGGATGCAGAGCTGGCTCCGCGTACGTACTGTGTGGCCCTGTGTACGTACTGTGTGGCCCTGTGTACGGCACTTTTCTTTTCTCCATGCCCTGTGGCAGTCTTACCAGATGCAAATGCCTTCCTCAGATCTTCCTAAAGGCCTAGCCACACAGCCCAGAGCACTCTTCATGGCCTCTCAGTTTTGCAAACTAACTGAGGCATGAGAACGATTACCCACCACATTTGCAGGCAACCGTGAGTCAGCATGAGCATAAGAAATACATGTATCTCCATCTGCTCTATCATACACCAATTTGGGATCAGCCCCACGCCTTCCCCACTTCTCCCTCGTGCCACCCAGAGGTGTGAGCATTGGACAGAAGTAGAAGACGCAGGGATATATGCAAGCCTCCGGTGGCCCGCTCCTTCCACACCACACCACTTGAGGGTGCAGTCACACCTTCTGCACGCGGGGACCTAACTCCGGCCTGACCAAGCAGCAGCAATGACTCTCATAGGACTCGGTGACTGGCAGGGCTCAAGAGACCAGCGGCCGTCCCCAGTCTCACTGTGGCTTCATCACTCTGATGAGAATACCTGAGGCCCAGAAGCCACCAGAGCCCCCACACCATGGCCCCTTTCTGCCCAGCATCCTGCTTCTGCCTCCCTTCCTGGCCTGCCTGTCCTTCCTCGACCCTGCCTCCTCCTGTCAGTCAGCTCCAGCCTACTCCATGTCCCTGAGCTGCTTGCACCTGTTCAAAGGCAAGGCCTAGCCTTACTGGGTCCTGTCACCCACTGCCTCTGCAGACATCACCTCGCCTCAGGGGATGACCTCACCTCCCAGCCTGGGTTGTAGCCCCATCCCTCTCACAACAATGGGACTCAGGCAGTTACATCCTCTCTCTGCCTTGACTCTCATCACACAGCAAACCAGAGAAGCCCACCCCTCCTGGATGAAAGACAATGACACCAAAGGCGGCACCCCTACACTGCCTCCCCACGTGCTCACAAGCTCAGCCACCAACAACGCTGACTACAGATGCACCACAGCACAGCAGGGTCCCTCAGGTTCCGGGCCTCAAAGCCACAACCTCTGACTCCACCCAGAGGGGAGCCCCTTCCTCCACCCGTCCCAGTGCCTCGCAAGGCCCCTGCACATTCTCGGCCGGTTCCCTCTGCCCAGTGTCCTCTGACCGCATGCCTACTCCTCCCCACTCTGCACGCCCTCTACACCTGGGCCTGGCCCCAGCTCCTACCCCAGCTTCCTCTCACTGACACCCACATCAGCCACTCCCCAGTTCTTTCAGCCTGCAGTGTCGGCTCCGACGGGCCCACCCCACCTCCACCCGACTGCTCCTCCCCTGCATCCCCTGGAGAAGGCCAAACACCACGCCTGCTTCTCTACCACCTGAGCCCTCCCTGTTCCTCTCGTGACTACACCCCTGCCCAGCACATCTTTCACGCAACCTGTGACTCCACGCCTGAGGCTAGCTTTGATTCTCGTGCCAGACCGTATGTCCCTCTCTTACCTGCTAACCTTCAAAGGCCATGCAGGTCACCCAATGACGTGCAGAACGCTCCCAGGTGTGTGGCCTCCAGGGCCAGGCCTGTCCCCGCCTCCCCCGTTCCTCCGCAGCCAGCTTGAGAACCTGCTGCACCTGTCCCAACCCGGCCCACACCTCGGTCCCTCCCGTGGTCTCCCGAGCCTCTCTCCTGAACTCCCGCCTGCCTCAGAAAGAGCCCAGGCTACTTGCCTCATGAGCCTAGCCCGAACACCTGCTCTGCCCGCCCACGCCCCCAGATCCCACATCAGGAGCCCCTGGATGGTGCTGTGTGGCCTGGGCTAAGTGGAGTGGGCGACTGACCTGCGCCCTGACCAGCAGGCCATGCACAAGAGCAGGCAGCGTGGAGCCCGTCACAGGAGGCTGAAGACGGGAGACATGGCCTATCATGGCACAGGCAGCGCCGGCCACCAGCGGGGTCTAACACTCGGTTCCAATCTCATTTACTGTTAAGAATTTAAGTTCAAATGGACATGAGCCCCGAGGCCTCACCTCATGTTAAACGCTCATCCCCGTGTGGCAGCCCAGCCGTCCACTGCTGTGCCAGCCAGGTGCTGAACTTGAGCCTGGCCTGGGGCCCCCAACTAGAGGGGGCCAGTGCCAGCGCCCTATCCCACAGCAGACAGACATAAGCACAGAACACATCATGTCCACTGTGATGGAAACCACCTGTGCCCCACCTCAGCTGTAGCTGCTGCCACCGCACCCGTGAGCCACGCCACCAAGGAGTCCCTGCAGGCAGATGACACTAAGCCCGGTCTGGAATATTTACCTTATCCATCCGATCCTTCTGTACTCCTATACTTCCTACTAATCCTTTGAGTAGTCTGAAATGTGGTAAAACACAACACTTACTCTGCGGCGGAGGCGAATGGGGGTGGCACAAAGGGTGCATGCAGACAGATCCAGAAACAGCCCAAGAAGGTGCACCAATGGAAGAAACGAATGGCTAAGCGTAGGCTTCACTTGCAAGGAAAGCTTCTGAGTCATGCTCCATGGTCGTAGAGACCATGCAGGAGAAGTAGGGCACAGGCTAGGGCAGGCTTGCATTCTGAGGCAGGAGGGGCGGTGCAGGCGGCAGGCAGGAGCTAAGCGGTGAGAGGGCACGGACAGGCCTTTGCAACGCGCCACTAATAGCACAGTCTTCCCGCACCAGCACGGGCTTATTCTCAGCTGTCTGCAAAGCGCCTCGCTCTACTGAGCGCCAAAAGAGGCTCAACGTAGTTTGTTCTCTTGCTTTTAAGAGAAAAAAATCCATGTGAAATTCTACCAGCCAAATCCTCTGCTGCAGCAACACAGATCCACATGAAAGTCACACTGTCATGCAGAGTGATGCCTTGAGAGCCACTGCCATCTCCATGCAGTCTGCGGGACCAATTCCCAGGTGTGTCTGTTTTGCCCACACCTGAACACTGCTGTGTTTCTACCGCTGCAGGTGCAAAGTCTAGAGTCTGCCCCTGCAAGGCTAGGGGAATTCACAGTTTTTCCAATTATGCCTAGCCTAATAACCAAGTCCAAATTTTGGCTGTACATAACTGTCGGCAAAGGATGCAGAGCTGCCCGCGTACGTACTGTGTGGCCCTGTGTACTGCATCAGGCTCCCAGGTACGTACCGTGTGGCCCTGTGTACGTACCGTGTGGCCCTGTGTACGCACCGTGTGGCCCTGTGTACGTACCGTGTGGCTCTGTGTACGTACCGTGTGGCCCCGCGTACGTACCGTGTGGCCCCGCGTACGTACCGTGTGGCCCCGCCTACGTACCGTGTGGCCCCGCCTACGTACCGTGTGGCCCCGCCAGGCTGCCTCGCTTCTGTTAAGAACAATGGTAGTGCTGTCTTGTCTTGCTGAAGAGAAAACCACTCCTGGTCTTGAGACCCTAGCACAGTTCCTAGCATCTATGGTCTTGCCTGACCCCAACAGGACAGTTGTAAATTCTCACTGCCACCTGGTGCCATCCATGATTAAACACTCTCAAGTACCATAACTCAGGTGACCCCCTGCAGGGGCAGGGCCTGGATGGGCAGGGAGAAGCCCAGGTTTCCAGACAGGCTGGGCCTGCCCCACATTGCAGATGCCCCAGCTGAGAGCCACACCTGGTAACTTCACACACACACATTTGTAGGCTCCAGGCTCTATTCATAGCCCCCCAATCCCTGGGCTGAGCACAAGGATTCCTGTCAGTGGAAGCCACCCAGGCTGGACCCAAAGCACCCAGATGCAGACTCGCCTGGCCCCTGCCAGGGGTGCGCTCCTGGCATCTTTCTGAGCGCTTCTCCATGGCCAGGGCTTGGGTGAGCGGGGCTGGGCTGGGCTAAGCAGAAGCAGGCCCCAAGAGCAGGCTGCCTCAGCACAGAGGCCCCTCCAAACCCCAACCACCCGAAAGGAGGGGCTTCAGAGGAGGGGTGAGAAGAGACTCGGCCGACATTTGGACAGAACTCCATGGAGGACGAAGCCGACATGACCCCTGCTGTCAGCTCAGGGACAGAGGGCAGGGCAGGCTGCTGGGTCCCAGGGCTGGACTGGCAAGACCAGGATGGCGCTAGCCAGCTGCCTGGAGCATTGTGGCCAGAGACTCAGCCTATGTGTGTGGTTTCAAGTGACGAGAGTGCCTTAAAGCACAGCCTTAAACTGAGTTAAACATGCCTTCCAAGGAAAACCTGGCCAGGAAAGAATAAGCCTCGCCTCAGGCCCCAGAGCCAAGCAATCCCTCGCACAGGTCCGAG